GCTATCAGAGCAGGTCGATCCCCTTGGGTCGATCCTGTGGGTGGGCCCACCACCTCACTGCTTCCGCTGCTACTGCTACTCTGTGTGTTGCACGCCCCGTGGCGTGCGACGGATTTTTCATCCCGCCGCGCGCTCGGAGCGTGCGGCGGTTTTCTGCCCGCCGTGCGCCCCGAGGCGCGCGGCGGTTTTCTGCCCGCAGTGCGCCCCGAGGCGCGCGGCGGTTTTCTGCCCGCCGTGCGCCCCGAGGCGCGCGACGGTTTTCTGCCCGCCGTGCGCCCCGAGGCGCGCGGCGGCTTTCTGCCCCGTCACTCCGCGCGTCGCTCCCGGGAGGCGCTGCGACGGGCGACGGGGACCCGCGCGTCGCCCCCCGTCGCCCGTCGCGGCCTGCGCGACCTGCGTAGGGCCCGCGCGCGGCCCGTACAGCCTGCGCGCGGCCCGTACGGGCTGCGCCAGGCCTGCGCGCGGCCCGTACGGGCAGCGCCAGGCCCGCGCGCGGCCCGTACGGACTGCGCCAGGCCAGGGCGCACCTCGGGCCGCCCGCACGCGGTTCGTACGGGCTGCGCCAGGCCCGTGGGCGCCCTGTTTTCTCTGCCCCTGCGCTGCCCGCTGTCCCCCGTGCTTCTGACGGCGCCCCACCCCTGCTGCTGCCCGTTCTCCTGAATTAGGGTTTGGGGGTGGGGGGTATGGGGGTGCAGTTTCTGTGCGTCGTCCCCTGCTCCTCCTCCTCCTCCGTCTCCCAGTGCTGCAGCTGCCGCTGAGGGGGTTGGGTGTGTGGGAGCCGAAGGAGTGGTACTAGGGGGGTGACGTGCAAGTGGAGTTAGGAGTGAAGCAGTGGGTGTGTGGGGGGTGTGTGGGACAGTTGGAGGAGGTTGAGCGGAGGCTGCTGTCTTGTCGTCCGCAGCACCTGTAGTCCGGGGCGCACTGTCCTGGTAGCCCAGAGAGTCTGCTGCGCCTGTCGTCCGAGGGTCCGTTGCTCCTGTAGCTCGTCGTAGCCCGTGAGCCAGTTACTCCAGTAGTCCGGGGCGCACTGTCCCGGTAGCCACTGTGCCAGCAGCTCCTGTTGCCCGTGTGTCTGCAGCTTCAGCCGCCGTCTCTCATCTTCTCTCCTCTCACAGTCCCTCCTCCTCCTCACTTGCCCGCTGTGATTACCTCTAGCTTTGCTTCTTATTGTGAACTCCTGCTATACCTGCTCATTGTGCTGATTACACCCCACTTTGACTATGGGGGTGTGTCAGAATGTTGTATTTGTCTAGCCTGCAGTGGGGTGCTCTATAGCGAGTACAGCCCAATCTAGGGTTTCCTATATGTACTCAACTGCTTGCTAGTGAAACCCCTCCTCCTTTCTTCATTCTTACTTTCTACTGCTAGTTCTGACATGACTGGTCCTGTGACCCCTTGTTCTCCCCCACTTAGCCTATGGGGGTGTGTCAAACATTGTATGTGTTATATTTGTGTAGGCTATTGTGGGTTAGCCTCTAGGGGGTACAGAACTAGGTTTGTCATACTTGTACTCACATTCTGCTGCTAGTCAATCATTCCTGTTTCGTTCTTTCTGACACTCTCTGCGTTACTTCCTTGCTCGAGAGTTGCAGCAGCGTGGTCAGCTTCGTCTTGCTTACGTGGCCACTCGGGCCAACACTGCTGATATATTCACCAAGGCACTTCAGCCTGGTGATCATCAGCGTTTCTGTACTGTTTTAGGCCTTGTGCCTACTTTGCCTCACTTGCTCATTTCGTGACTTTGCTTGTACTGTAATCTATATACTTGTACCTGCATGCTTACACTTGATAGGTTGTGATCACGTACTGCTTGTTCTCATTTATATAACTATGCATGTGAACTGGCCTTGTGACCATTTGCTTGTGCTCAGACTGTGTGGTGACTTCGTGATCCACCCTGAGCTTGCTTTGCTTTTCTTGACTGGTCTTGTGACCCCTTGTTCTCCCCCGCTTTGCCTATGGGGGTGTGTCAAACTATGATGTTGTGTGTGTTGTGTAGGCTGTAGTGGGGTAGCCTATATGGGGTACAACCCAATTAGGGTTATACTTGTACCAACTTTCTGTTCAATGCACTCATTCTCGCTTAGTCTTCTGACAAGTGCGTGGCATTGTCGTCAACCGAATAAGAGTACATCGCTGCAACGAAAGCCGGGAAGGAAGCGCGACGACTTCGCTTTCTGCTTGCGGAGTTCAAGCTTTTGGACCCGAAAACGCCTACCATCATCATCATCGACAACTCTTCGGCCATCGCGGTTGCGGAAGGGTTGGGGCTCAAGGGGAGTCTCAAGCACTTGGAGAGGCGGTACATCTGGGTGCAGCAGATGGTGAAGCGCAAGAAAATCGCGCTGACGTACATTCCAACGAGCGAGCAACCCGCGGATTACCTCACAAAGGCATTGCATTCCCCGGCCTTCACTCGTTGCGGCGTGGCTGTTGGGCAAGTCACTCTTGCAGGGGACGAAAATGACAACACGCGAAATCAGGTGCCACGTCCTTCAACGTGGCTGGTGTGGTGAGTATGCGTGTGAAAGCAACACGCGGACGAATTTCCATTTCGTCACCCTGTTGTATTTTATTAGTTAGCTTTTCGCTTTATGTCGTGTGCTAACTCCTCAATTGCCCAGGCACGAGCAGGGCAGGGGAGTGTTGACGCGAAAGGCCCTACACGAGCCTGTATTCGTGCGTGAGGGCTCCGAGCGAAATGTGTCCGCGCAGTAGAGCGCGTCCTGCAGCCGCAAAAAATGTTCGCACTGCATTCTGGGTTCGCGCCTGCGCGGGATCGAGGTTTCGTGTTTGTGCTGGGGCGAAGTTTTCGCGCCCCTGGGAGGTTTCGCGTTGGATCACCGTTGCGGGATTTCCCGCGGGTTACGAAACGGGAGAAGGCGCGGAAAGGTTGTACGCAGCGAAATTGGACCAAGTCATGACTTTGGGAGGGAAAATTCGCGCAGTACACTCGGTAGCCGCAAAACAAAAACGGACAGAATCAAAGGAAGTGACTATATTGCACAAGCGAAGCATGTGTAACTGCAAATATTGCAGAAACATGAACAACTACTCCTAGTTAGGTATAAATTTACCTGGCATGTTAATTTCACATGCCGTTGCTGACTTGGCAACGCACATGCTAGAGTAGTTGTCGGAACGTTCTGCGTGAACGTTCGCGACTATCGTCGCTTTGTTTCTATATGGTTCTGGTCCTTCCCATTGTACTCTATTGTTTTCTTTTCCATAGTGAAGCTATGTTCAAGCTTGCTCTCAACACTTTTAGAATTTTTACAAGGCAAGCCAACACAATTTCGTGCCTCAACTCCTAGTGCACATTTCGTAACGAGATTCTCGTGCCCACCTTTTCGTGCCCCGCCATCCCGAAAACTATAAATCTCTGCACCTCCGCCCCCCCCTCCCCCGACTCCCCCCCCTCCACCCACGGCCCTGCTGTGTTGCTTCCGCGGCTGCACCAGTGGCGCGAGCAGTATGGGGACGTGTTTGGATTCACTGTAGGGGCAATGGTGCAACTGGTTGTAACAGACCCTGCACTAGTGAGACAGGTACAGTCATGTGGCGATGCTGTGGTTTGATATGATGTGATTTGCCTGACGTGATGCGATGCGATGTGATGTGATGTGATTGCATTAGATGGTTGCATGAGATGTGATTGCATGAGATGTGATTGCGTGAGATGCATGCAGAACACAATCAAGACACAGTGCTCCTGGGTCCACCACTCACATCCCCTCTCTTCTCACCTTCCCTTTTCCGTCCCTGTTTTCCCCTCCCCACGTCACTTTCCCTCATCTATCCCTTCCCTTCATCTCCCCACTCCCCTTTGCCCTCCTTACAGCTCTCACTCGTCCTCTCTGTCTTCCTCCATCCACCTGTCTCGTCTCTGGCAGGTGTTGCTAGCAAGCAGTGGGCGGTACACCAAGATCGCAAGGGCACGCAAGGTGCTGAGGCTGCTCGGGCATCCACCCACGATCCATCCACCTGTCTCGTCTCTGGAAGGTGCTGCTAGCAAGCAGCGGGCGGTACACCAAGACAGCAAGGGCACGCAAGGTGCTGAGGCTGCTCGAGCATCCATCCATGATCCATCCACCAGTCTCGTCCCTGGCAGGTGCTCCTATCGAGCAGCGGGCGAGTCACCAAGACAGCAAGGGCACGCAAGATAATAAGGCTGCTGGGCAATGGTCTGCCTCTCTCAGAGGGGTCTCTGTGGGCCCGCCAGCGCCGCATCATCAACCCCGCCTTCCGCCCTGCAGCGATCAAGGTGAGGCTTGTGGCCTGGTGGTTGTCTGGTGCAAGATTATAGGAGACACATAGGAGCATGGCTGCTAGAAAACGGTCTGCCTCTCTCAGAGGCATCTCTGTGGGCCCGGCAGTGCCACATCATCAACCCCGCTTTCCGTTCATCAACTATCAAGGTGCGGCTTGTGGTCCGGTGGTTGTCTGGTGCAAGACTATAGGAGACACATGGGAGCATGGCTGCTAGAAAACGGTCTGCCTCTCTCAGGGGTCTCTGTGGGCCCGGCAGTGCCAAATCATCAACCCCGCTTTCCGCCCCGCCGCCATCAGGGCGAGTTGATCGCCTCATCTCGTGCTGACGTGTTGAGTTGTTGGCTTGCTCTTTCGGATTTACGTTTTCCGGTGCTGATGCTTGCTGGCTCATGTGGGCTAATGATCCATGTTGGCTGTTTTGGTTATGCTTGACTCTTTTATTCTTTTGGGACTTCCTTTGCCATGTTTGACATGCATTGAGCTTGGGTCACGTGATTGACCTGTGTTGATTTGCATTCACCTGTGTTGACCTGCATTGACCCATTTTGACCTGCATTCCTGCGTTGGCCTATATTGCCATACGCTGATCTGTGGTGACCTTCATTGACCACGTTGACATGCGCTGACCCATGCAGGAGATGGTGAGAATCATGGATGGCCAGGGCCACTCTCTGGCAAACTCGTGGTGGAATCAGCTGCAACAACAGAGCCAAGCAACAGGCCAAGGCATGTCATTAACCGAGCATGCTAAGGAAGGGGGTGGGGAGGGAGCGCCGGAGAGTGCTTATACCGAGTGTGCGTATAACGAGCGTTTAGGGCGTGCGTGCATGGAGGTGGACGTACAGGAGAGCATGTCTCTCGTGGCTCTAGATGGCATCGGCCTCGCTGCCTTTGGCTCTGCTGTCACGCACGAGGGGGGCCAGGAGGAGAGGAGACGGAAGGAAGGGGGGGAAGGGGAGGAAAGGGGGCTAAGGAAGGAGGGTGGTACCATGGCAGTGAAGGCAAATACGGCCGCAGCGGCAGCAGCACAATCACTACCATCAATAGCTGCTGCGGCGGGGGCAGGAGCACCGGACCCAGTGCAGGTGTACAAGGCATTGTCGAGGCTGGCAGAGCTGGATTCGAAGAGGGTCACTTCCTGGCGCTCCCTCGTGCCCTTTTATGAGTAAGACTGCTGCTGCCCGCTGTTCCTCCACCGTGCCTCCACCGTGCCTCCACCATGCCTCCACCCACCGTGCATGCACCCACCGTGCCTCCACCGTGCCTCCACTGTGCCTCCATTGTGCCTCCACCATGCGTGCATTGTGTGTGAGACTGTCTCATCAATCGTTGAGGCAGGAAAGAAGGACTCTTTCTTCATCCTCTGCCTCGTCGTGTGTGTCTGTCGTGCATTCCCTTTCTTCGAAAAAACATTTGGAAAGAGTGGATTCCTTTCTGTACCGAGCCTGGGTCTATTTACTGGGAAATGTCTAGGCACTGATTCCATCCCCTATCTTATCTCTGCATGTATTATTGACATGGGAGGATAAATATACTGCCTGGTTCCCTTTCCGTACTCTTGTTATCCCCCCATCGCAGCATCTTGCCAATTCAGGAAAACTTTGCCCTTTGGGCAGCAGAAAAGAGCATCCGCAACCTGACCTTGCACCTGATAGGCAAGAGGTGGGCAGCAGCAGCAGTGCATGCAGAGGAGGCACATGGAGAGCAGCAGGGGGGGACAGCAGGGTGGGCAGCAGCAGCAGCAGTGCATGGCGAGGAGGCACGTGGGCAGCAGCAGGGGGGGACAGCAGGGCGGGCAGCAGCAGCAGCAGTGCATGGCGAGGAGGCACGTAGGCAGCAGCAGGGGGGGACAGCAGCGCGGGCAGCAGCAGCAGCAGTGCATGGCGAGGAGGCACATGGAGAGCAGCAGGGGGGGACAGCAGGGCGGGCGGAGGAAGCACATGGAGAGCAGCAGGGGGGGCCAGCAGGGCGGGGTGCACGGGATCTGCTGGCGCTCATGCTGGCAGCACATGAGGAGGCAAGCAACGAGCAGATGACGGATCAGCAGCTCATGGACGAGTGCATCACATTCCTCCTCGCTGGTATGCTCCTTCTGAGTCGACTCAAAATTACTTATAAGTCGAGTTAAATTTACTTATAGGTTGACCGAAAGTGATCACGAGCAGATGTCGGATCAGCAGCGCATGGACGTATGCATCACCTTCCTCCTTGCTGGTATGCTCGTTCTGACTTCATGCTCTCAATCGAGTTGATTCAAACACACTTTCAAGTCGGCGTGAAGCAACGAATGCCCTCGCGTCTCTCGAAACGTCTCAATGTTTGTTTCAATATTCGTCTCTTTACTACACATGCCTCCCGTTTCTCCTCGCTGGTACTGCCCCACCCCGCTGTACCTTCTCCCCTCCCTTCTCTTCCCTTCCCCGCCCCTTCCCAAGCCCACATCCACTCTTACCCCACTTCCCGTTCCTTTTCCTCTCAGCCTCTCTGCTTCCCTGCTACCCTCCTTTCCCCCGCCCCCCTCCGCCCTCCCCTCCTACGACACTTGAGACATCAACCATCTTCTCTGCATTGCCTCCCTTCTGTGCATCGTCTCACCTCCCCTTCCCGTTTCACCAATGCCCATCTTCCTTCTGCCGCCCCCTCCCTCATCGCCTCCCATCTTCCTCCCTTGTCGCCTCCTATCTTCCTCTGTGCCCCTCTCCCCCTCGTCCCCTACCGGCAGGCCACAGCACCACGGCGCACCTGCTGACGTGGACGTTCTATCTTCTGGCGAAGCATCCCGACTGGCACGAGCGGCTGCAAGCAGAGCTCAAGCAGGCGCTGACTCAGCAGGGGGCACAGGCCACGTCAGCAGTCCCCACAGCCAGCACAGAAGAAGGAGCAGCAGACAAGGCAGGGTCAGAGGCAGGTGGAGGAAATCACGAAGGGAGAAGCCAAGGGGGGTCTGGAGGGGAGGGATTGGGGGAGGGACAGGAGTGAGGACAGGAGAAGGAGAGCGAGAAGGAGGAGCGCGAGGGGAAGGCGAGAGAGGAGGAGGGGGGCGGGTGACATGGGAGGTGGTGGCGGCACTAAAGGGCATGGGCATGGTGCTGCAGGAGAGCCTGCGCATGTTCCCCCCCGTCCCTTTCCTGGGCCGCACGTGCCAGCAGGTACACACTTACAGGGTCAAATGCACACATGTGGGGTTGGGGGGGGTCAAATGCACGGGAAAGTGGGGGAGAGAGAGGGCACTGAGGGGCATGGGCATGGTGCTGCAGGAGAGCCTGCGCATGTTCCCCCCCCCGTCCCCTTCCTGGGCCGCACGTGCCAGCAGGTACACATGGGCCGCACGTGCCAGCAGGTACACATGGGCCGCGGGTTCCGAATGGCACCGGTGTGTTTGTTACTTGGGGGGGGGGGGGGGGGGTTCAGATGGTTGGAGGGGGGCTTATTCTAGTTCCGTCTTTCTGCAGCTCTCAGCCTCATCGTCCACCCACTCACTCTCTTCCCCTCACCCCCTCCTCCTCACCCTCTCCTGCTTTCTCTCTCCTCCGCACCCTCTCCAGGCAGTAAGGCTGGGCCCGTACGACGTGCCGCGGGGTGTGAACGTGCTGATACCAGTTGCTCTCTTGCACTATGACCCGCGCTACTGGGGCCCTCAAGCCCTCCACTTCAACCCCGACCGCTTCTCTAGTCAGTCCATTTCCTTGCCCTCATCGTTGCCCAATTCTTTGTCTTCTTATTTTTCTCCTTTGCCGTCTTGCAATCACTTCTGGGGCTCGCATGCCCTAGACTTCAACCTCGATCGCTTCGCCAGTCAGTCTCGTTTGTTGCCCGTGCCTCGTCTTCCTCCTTCCGCATCCGTTTTGTTGTTTTTCCCCATTTGTTTCTTCGCAATTCTTGTCTGCATGCCTGTGCCCTTTTCTCCGCTTGTTTCCCCTTCCCTGTTCTTTCCCCTGATATTCCTCTTCCACATAACTTCAAGTCTTTGTGGCTTACACTCATTATACCACGTTCCCCTTTTGCCCCTTCTCCCTCATACCCTTCCTCAAACCCCACCCATGCCACAAGGGACAGATGAAGCCTGTTCTCACCCTCAGGCATTCCTACCCTTTGGTTCGGGCCCGCGTATCTGCATCGGCAACAACTTTGCCCTCACAGAAACAAAGGTGGTGCTGGCGCACATCCTCAGGCAGTTCTCATGGCGCCTCTCCCCTGCCTACAAGCACTCCCCCGTCAGCGCTGTCGCTCTGCGGGCGAGTTTCGGCATGCACCTAATGGTTGAGCCATTGGCAAACCCTTTCTGAGATTCATGGCACATACCACAACAGTTTGAAGGGGTTGCTGACAACACATGTTGTTGACACCCAGGGTCCAGGGAGCATCAGGGCACGTAAAAGTTACAACGGGCCGGCCATTACACGTGAAGTGAATGCACTGCTTGTTGAATCTTCATTTGCTTTAGCCACTTCAGGACAGGATATACACACCCAGGGCCTCAGATTCGTTTTGGGTGACCCTGAGCACTCAGGGTCCCTTGGAGCTGTAACACTGATCATCAGGGTTGCATGTGGAGAAACACTGATTCCTCAGGGTTCTTGGAAAAGAAACACTGATCAAACAGGGTGCCTTTTCAAAAAACACTGATCAGTGAATCTACAACCACTATTAGATTAACTTTTAGAAAGTTACATTTTGTTCTAGTGAACTTCTATCCACAGCATAGACAGGCCATTTTACACACACAACGCACATACACATCACATCACATCACATCACATCACATCATATCACATCACATGTCAACATCATCGTCACTAGCACCATCGCTCATAGACACGTGCATGGGGGTCTCTGTCCCCCACCCAGAGCCAGCACCAGCATCATCCTCGTCCACCCTCTCTTTCCCCTTAGCACTTGGTTGCTTCTTTGGTGCTGCCATTGTTGTGATGGGTTTGCGCTTCTTGTACGCCCTCCAGATCTTCACCACATCCACCCAGTCGGGCTCGTACGGCAGCAATGCCATGCACATGAGGTCCGACAGCCGCGCATCCTTGATGGCACCCCTCAGCCAGCTCTTGATAATGTTCTCGACTGTGCTCAACGCTAGCACAGCGACAACCACCCACATCTTCACCAGGTAGGGGTATGCGTCCTCCCAGTCGGGAGACTTCAGCATGGCCGAGAGACCCGGGTAGAACTTCCTCTCGGACTTCGGAGCTCTAGCGAGAACCGTGCAGAACGAGCGCAGCTCCTTGAACGCCTTCTGCTTGTTGACACCTGCAGTCCGGGGAGTGCGCATGCACAAGGAATAATCAAAGTAAGCGAGGCTCTGCACACAAGTGGTGCCAGAGTTCTGTTGCTACACAAGTGAACAGCACAAAGAACGATGCACAGCCCGTAAGGTAGCACGAACCTGGAACGATCTCGTCGCACTCTTGGGCCTTGAAGAGCGTTGTCAGGGACTCGAGGTGCTCCGTGCAGACCATGGATCGCTCCTGCCATCCATGGGGCCACTCGTCGGGCATGAACAGCTTCACACCGCTCAGCTTGTCGAGAGAACCTAGCCGCTCATCCAAGTGATGCACGAGGGACTCCGCCATCGCCGTGCACTGGTCCACGCATCGGTCATGGGTCCCTGCAGAGGGGTAGCCTTCAAGGGGGGAATCATGCAGGATGTAACAGTGAGAAGTGGGGCGTCCGTCGGAGTCAACCCACTCGACCTCAACTCTCCGCACCCCGTTCGGTCCATGTCGTGCAATGAAGGGCGACAGCTTCTCGCTCAGGCCGCCTTCGAAGTCGTCGCTGCAATCCACATAACGGCTGTTGATGTGGGTTGTCGTGCGACGGATCTGGCCTTGAACCGCTAGCAGGTCGATCTGCCACACAAAATAGTAGGAAAAAAAAGGCAAAGTATCAATCATATAACAAAACAAACATGAGCCAGAGGCGCATGCGTCTAAGTCTTCGTGGCCGGTGCTTGCACACATAAATGTGCAGTGTTGTGGGAGTCACGGCAAAAGCAGAATCTCACCTGTCGATGCTAGAACGTCTTGCTGAGCACGTTCAGTTGTTCCAGCACGTCAGCGAGGAAGCGCAGCATGAATTGGAATCTGTAGCTTGTTACCATCTGGTACATGGGCTTGTTTCCCAGCTCGTGCACCATCACAACGACACCCGGCAGGACTGCAAGAGTTCGCCCGACTGCATCTCCGCGCGATAGCCAACGCACATCATTGATTCCTTGGAGCTCCAGGATAGTCTGAGTGAAGACTTCCTGCATGTCCAGGAACCGCTGGTGCCAGGGTCCAGATGAGCTGAGGTAGGTGGAGAGCCAGCGGATGAAGCTGTCGACCATGCCAAACTCCGGAAGGGACTCTGCCGCGTCCTTGGCCGCGAGCGCTTCCCTGCGATTAACACAAGCAATAGACGCATTAGGGTAAGTAGAAGGTAGAAAACTTCTTGCAGATAACTAAAACGCAGGGGAAAGCGCATCAACCCTCATACATGTGAGCGATGCAGTGGCAGGAGACCAGATGCGGTATGCGCGTCCTCAGCCTCGCCACCAGCCCATTTTTGAATCCGACCATCACGCTCGCTCCGTCGGTGCTGATGCCCGTGATTCGGCGCAGGTCAATGCCGACGGCATTGACATGGGATAAGAGCAACCCCACCAGCGAGGCGGCGTCTGCCTTGTCCACGGTTAGCAGGGCGAAAAACTCAGTGACTACTGCCCCGTCGCGGATGAATGTGGCGTAGATGATGAGATTCTTCCCACGGCATCTGTCCGTAAACTCGTCACAGCTGAGGCCGATGTAATGGCTTGTGAGAATGTGCTCCAGTTGTGTGGTCTGCAGCCACATTGCCGTTGCCTGTGTGAGTTCCCCGAAGCCGTACCTGCAGAGACACAGGAAACATTTATTACGATTATGTGGTTGTTAACATGAGAGGCTCTTCACTGCATGCGCGGATGGAATACCAAGAACTTACGTTGTGTAATAAGTGCCGTATCCCTTTTTGGGGAAGCCGCGCACTTCGTTCTTAGCCATGTACCGAACGAGGCTCACCCACGTCTCCATCGGCAGGTGGTTCTGGGTTGTGAAGTGAAGGGAGATTAGGAGGGCGATGACGCGGTTCGTCTCGTCATCCCTGGCGAGCGGATGCTGGTCAATCCGCGGCTGCTTCCTAGCCTGAGCTAGCATCTTCTTCTGGTGCTCGATGGCCAACTGGTGCTTGTTCGTCGCGGCATGCCGCTTGAAGGCTTGGGTCTGAAGATCGGTTGCACCGTGCCCACTCTTGCCACACTTGCCACCGTCACCTGCAAAGTCCATGCACAATCTGCACTTGAACGCAGGCATGGCAGAAGTGTTTTTGATGGGTACGAGCCATGGGTAGTCTGTCGACCACGTGGACTTGAACGAGTCCAACGGATCCTCGTAAATCAAAGTGGTTAGTGACTGTTTTTATTTACTTGGATGGAGTGGCCGTAACGTCGTTTACCGACTCGCCAGCATCAGCGAGAGGACGGTCAGGAGCTGTTGTATCGGCCCAGCGGAGCACGGCCTGCTTGTAACGAGGCGGAGGCTTCGTCGACGACCAGCAGCTGGCAAGCGGACGCTCGGGCCAGCTGCTTATGCCACGACCGGCTTAGCAGTATGCGCGGGCTGGGGGCGATCGTCGCCGCGGCAGAGGTCAGACGCGTCACCAGTGTATGCTCCTGAAGTGAGGGAATCTTGCTTCTCTTTTTCATGCGAGAGCACGGAGACTAGAAAATCTAGTCCTGTTTTGGCCTCCTGCATCTCGGTGGCGGCGTAAAGGGCATCGTCGTCATCATCACCGGTGCTGTTCTCACCGGTGATCGCCATGGCGCGTTCACGCCAACTTCCTGAATCGCAGAGTATTATCTAGAGAGAGAGAGAGAGAGAGAGAGAGAGAGAGAGAGAGAGAGAGAGAGAGAGAGAGAGAGAGAGAGAGAGAGCCTGCCGAGATGGTTTCAGAGAGAAAGCAGAGAGGGATGTTTCCGAAAGGGATGGAGTCTGGAGAGCTAATGAGAGAATCACGAGACCCCCTGCATGGGGTGGCTGAGCGGACTGCCCCAGCACGCCCTGGCTTGGTGAAAAGGACAAGGCTTACCACTAGCCCACTGGGCCACTAGGCGTGTTTGTGTGCATCCAAGGCCAGAAATGACAAGTGTTGGTTATCCTCAGTGACAACGGTACATTGAATCAGCTTGGACAGCCAATCTCTTTGCGTCGTTTTGCCAACAGTGCCCAAAATTACCCCGTTCAGCTGTATCTCGGCGAGCCGCTGGGTGGCGTCGGTGCAGGGTGGGTACATGAATGATGACGGTGCGCAAAACAGCGAGAATCACGGAGTTTTCGGTTTCAGGGTCGTCTCCGATACAACACTGACTCGTCAGTGTCGTCAAACAGGAAACACTGGAAAATCAGTCTTTGAAAACAAAAAACACTGAATCATCAGGGTTGTAAAAATAAAAAGGCTGATAGATCAGGGTCACAATAAAAAACTGGGGTAAAACATCAGGAAATCAGGGTAAAATTCCTGAAATCTGAGGCCCACCTGTGTTAATTTTGCTGAAACACACCTCACTCTGCTATATGGAAAGAGTGAGGCAGGTGGTACATATATTATCACACAGTGGCCTTTGAGCATCCAACTCAGTGAAATCGCCCTGTTTAGCCGTGCCACCCACCAGTACCGCTTTTCCGTTGGAGCTTCACCTTCCTCGCCCTCATTCTGCGTGCTGCAACAATCCCAGCCTCAGCAACCTTCTCTCTTTCTGAAACGACTTTTGGTTATGTACGTTTCCAATTCCCGTCAATCGGCGACGCGACGCGCGGAGCACTCAGCGACCCTCGAAACCACACTCACTCGCTCGCCTTGGTGCAGTAGAGCCGTCGATCGGAGACAGTCGCGTTGATCGACGGCTCCACGACGCGCGGCGCAGAACAGCAGTTCCCGGGGAGCATTCGCGCCGCTTTAGGTACTTCCGGCGCGTTGATCGTCGCCTCGACGAACGGCTGCGATGGCAGCGGAGGGCGCAGCGATGGAGCTGGAGGGGCAATGGCGCGATCTGGACCGTCTGTTGCTGCGACCAGGGATGCTCGTCGGCCCTGGGTTCGAACCCTCGCCGGAGGTACTTCCGTACGCGATATTGACGGACTCGTTTCAGATCCATAAGCAGCGCTGCGCTTGAGAAACCAGCTTGTCACACGACCCTAGGCCCCCTAAGCATTTAGCCCGTCCGGTGTATCCTCCTGCCAGGCATGCGTGTGGCATCATTACCCATGGCTGGCAGGAGGATACACAGAGCTGTGCGGCAGGCGCTGCAGCAGGCAGGCAGTGGGCCCTGTATCCACGCCGCCTGTGTATCATGGTGCGGGGTGGGATCAGGCGGGCTGGATTGCACGGTGCTGTGCTGCAGGCCCTGCTGTCATGCGCGTCGCTCTCCTTCCCCACCCTCGTCTTCTGTCGCCTGCTCGCACAAGTGGCATCCCACCCCTTCCTCCTCCTGCCCCACACCTACCAGCCGCATTCGTGACTCCCTCAAGTGAGTGTGAGTGCCGTGTGCTCTCCTAGGAGTGTGCTTCTGGTCTGGGCGCGGTTATGGGTCCTTTAGCGGCTCTTTCTCCTCCGTCCCGTTCCCTCCGTTTCCTAACTCTCATGCTTGCCGTGTTGGCCCAGCGTGCTACCGCCTGGGTTAAAAGGGCATGTTTGTATGGTGGGTAGGTAGCGCACCTGTAGTCCTCTCGCACTCTACTGGGGAACGATCCCAGTGCCCCACCAACATGCCGCACTCTTCCCCATTCTCCTCCTTTTCCCACTCTCCCCTTTTCCCCACCCTCCCACCTGCCCTATGCTCCGAATCTCCGTTTCACCCCGTTCCCACCTCCCACCTGCCGTGTGCTGGTGGGCGCGGGCGTGCTGGGCTGCGAGCTGCTATTCGAACACCTGCTGTGATTCCCCTCCTCCTCCTTCCCACCCCTTCCCCACCCTTCCACCACCCCATCAAACCAACCAGATTCGCGAATTCTTGAAGTCGGACTGCTGAGTGCTGGTGGTGGGAGCGGGTGGGCTGGGCTGCGAGCTGCTCAAACACCTGCTGTGACCCACCCTTTTCTCCGTACCACCCCGTTCCCACCTCTCACCTGCCCCGCCCTCCTCCTCGTCACCCCTTCCCCACCATGTCCATTCAACCAGATCCGCGACTTCTTGAAGGAGGACTGCCGAGTGCTGGTGGTGGGAGCAGGCGGGCTGGGCTGTGAGCTGCTAAAGGACCTGGTGCTGTCGGGGTTTGGCAGCATAGACGTGATTGACATGGACACTATCGATGTGTCAAACCTTAATAGGCAGTTTCTGTTCCGGTGAGTTGATACGGTACATACACAGTGCACACAAAGTACTGCTACTGTGTACGAACAGAGCTGCTCAAGGACCTGGTGCTGTCGGGGTTTGGCAGCATAGACGTGATTGACATGGACACTATCGATGTGTCAAACCTTAATAGGCAGTTTCTGTTCCGGTGAGTTGATACGGTACATACACAGTGCACACAAAGTACTGCTACTGTGTACGAACAGAGCTGCTCAAGGACCTGGTGCTGTCGGGGTTTGGCAGCATAGACGTGATTGACATGGACACTATCGATGTGTCAAACCTTAATAGGCAGTTTCTGTTCCGGTGAGTTGATACACTACATACACAGTGCACACAAAGTACTGCTACTGTGTACGAACAGAGCTGCTCAAGGACCTGGTGCTATCGGGGTTTGGCAGCATTGACGTGATTGACATGGATACCATCGACGTCTCCAACCTTAACCGCCAGTTCCTCTTCCGGTGGGTTACAGTGCCACTACAGTGCCACTACAGCGCAGAAACAGTCCTGCTACAGTGCATGTACTCGGTGGGGTGTGGCAGCATAGACGTGATTGACATGGATACCATCGATGTCTACAACCTCAACCGCCAATTCCTCTTCTGGTGAGATGCAGTGCTGATGCTACAGTGCATGTACTCGGTGGGGTGTGGCAGCATAGACGTGATTGACATGGATACCATCGATGTCTCTAAACTCAGCAGACAGTTCCTGTTTCGGTACGCTGCAGTGCTGCTATATTGTATAGGGACTGCTACAGTGTTTGAACAGCAGAGCATGGCGTGGGCAAGCCAAGGCCGTGGTGGCCGCAGAGCGAGTGACGATCGGCAAGTCTTTCCCTCCCCTCTCCCCTCTCCCCTCTCCCCTCTCCCCTCTCCCCTCTCCCCTCTCCCCTCTCCCCTCTCCCCTCTCCCCTCTCCCCTCTCCCCTCTCCCCTCTCCCCTCTCCCCTCTCCCCTGCATGCAACCCCCTCTCGCCTCCGTGCAGCCCGTCTGACGTGGGCAAGCCCAAGGCCGTGGTGGCAGCAGAGCATTTGGCACTCAACAAGTCTTCTCCCGCTTTCCCTCCCGTCCCCCCCTGACTCTTCCCCTGTTCCCCTTCCTACCCCTACGTGCCCCCTCCTTCCCCTCGTTCTGCCCCATACCCCTCCGTGCAGCCCGGCTGATGTGGGCAAGCCCAAGGCGGTGGTGGCAGCAGAGCGAGTCATGAGCCGCGTGGGCGGGGTGAAGGTGAGAAGGGGGGGAAAACCGAGTCAAAGGGAGGAGAGGGAATGGGCTGACTTTTGAGACGACTCAAAAGTCATCCGAGTTAAAGGGAGGAGAGGGAATGGGGGTTCTTGTCACTTCTGCAATTCGTGTTTTCTGCTATATTCCCCCTCTCTTCAACCACCCCCTTCTCCCACCCCTTTCGCTATCTCCTGTCCCGACCCCCAAACTCATTCCCCTCTATGTAGCACCACTCTCCCTCACCCCCACCCTGCCCCACCCCACGCCACCCCACCCCCACCAGGTGACGCCTCACTTGTGTCGCATAGACGACAAGCCCGCGTCCTTCTTCAGCGAGTATTGGTGCGACTTTTGAGAGTTCTCGGTGCGACTTATGAGAATTCTCAAAAGTTCAACGTCATCGTGTTGGTGTTGGCTGGACTCGTCACTCGCTTCCTGACACCTCTCACTATTCTCCACATCACCACTCCCTCCTCTAAACCCGCTCGTTCCCCACCGCACTCCACCAGGTGACACCGCACTTCTGTCGCACAGAGGACAAGCCCGCCTCTTCTTCAGCAACCCCCCCCTCCCCCGCCTCCTCCCCACCCTGCCCCACCCTGCCCCACCCCCACCTACCCCCACCCCCACCAGGTGACCCCTCACTTCTGTCGCATAGAGGACAAGCCCGCCTCCTTCTTCAGCGAGTTCAACGTCATTGTGTTGGGGCTCGACTCGCTGGAGGCACCCTCCTTTACTCGTCACAACTGCTCTCCTTATCCCCCATCCACCCGAACCCCCCCTACCAGGTGACACCCCACTTCTGTCGCATAGAGGACAAGCCCGCGTCGTTCGTCAGCACCTTCACCATCATTGTTTGTGTTGGGGCTCGACTCGCTCCCTCAGACTGTCTCAAACTCCTCCTCACCACCACTGTCACCCTTCCACCCCGTTTTCCATCCTTCACCCCCCACCCACCCCACCCCATTTACCAGGTGACACCACACTTCTGCCGCATAGAGGACAAGCCGGCCTCTTTCTTCAACGATTTCAACATCATAGTGTTGGGCCTGGACTCTCTCGAAGCCCGTTCCTACATCAACAGCCTCGTCTGTGGCTTCCTAGGTGCGCTTGCCCTAGATTTGGATGAATTGCACTGCATGCTTGCAAGATGAATGCACAGTGCCACGTGTTGTGGTTACTAGGTGTGAGCCCTAGACGATACATTGCACTGCATGCTTATTTCAACATCATCGTGTTGGGGCTGGACTCTCTCGAGGCCTGTTCCTACATCAACAGCCTCGCCTGCGGCTTCCTAGGTAGGCGTGAGCCTTAGATTCAATTGCATTGCTCTGCGCGCTTGCGGGTTGACTGCACAACATCATTGTGTTGGGCGCTGCAGACTGCATCTTGACGGCTGCAGACTGCATCTTGACGGCTGCAGACTGCATCTTGACAGCTGCAGACTGCATCTTGACGGCTGCAGACTGCATCTTGACGGCTGCAGCGAAGGGCATGGGAAAGGAACTCTACAGTCGTGAGCGTACTGTCAGATTTGCCAATGCCATGTGCATTATCCATGGGCATGGGGTATTCAGTCCCTTCCTTCCTGCTCTCCATCTCCACCCCTCCCCACCACCAGAGTACTCGCCTGAGGGCGAGCTAGACCTGACATCGATCCGTCCCATGGTGGACAGCGGCACTGAGGGCTTCAAGGGGCATGCGAGGGTGATCATCATTCTCCCTACCCAACACCCCCCCTTTCCCCCACTCCCTCACCACCACCAGAGTACTCCCCTGAGGGCGAGCTGGGCTTAACCTCTATCCGCCCGACCCCATGATGGACAGCGGCACGGAGGGCTTCAAGGGGCATGTCAGAGTGATCCTTCTTCCTACCCAGTGTCCCCCCTCCTCCTTCACTCCTCTCCTCGTCTCCTCCCCTCCCCCACCACCAGAGTACTCGCCTGAGGGCGAGTTAGATCTGACCTGACATCGACCCGCCCGATGGTGGACGGGGGCGCGGAGGGCTTTCAAGGGAGGTGGTCATTCTCCCTACCTCCCTGCTCCAACCCATTCTCCACCCACACCTCCACCCTCACCACCAGAGACCTGGACTTAACCTCCATTCGCCCCATGGTGGACGGGGGCACGGAGGGCTTTACGGGGCATGCCTGAGTGATCCTTCTTCCTACCCAGTGCCTGCTCCTCCTCCTTTGACTCCTTTTATTTCCACTCCCTCACCACCAGAGTACTCCCCTGAAGGCGACCTGGACTTGGCCTCCATCCGCCCCATGGTGGACGGCGGAACGGAGGGCTTTAAGGGGCACGCGAGAGTGATCATCCCGGGGGTGACGCCGTGCTTCCACTGCACGCTCTGGCTCTTCCCCCCCCAGACCAAGTTCCCCCTGTGCCCACCACCAGAGTATTCCCCAGAGAATGAGCCGGCCGAAGCGCTTCCATTCAATCCAAGGGGCATGGGATGGGAGGGTGCTCCTATTCCGAACCCAATGCCCCCTCCTCCTTCCACTCCCTTTTCTTCTACTCCCCGTCTCCGCCCCCTCACCACCAGAATACTCCCCTGACGGCGACCTGGACTTGGCCTCCATCCGCCCCATGGTGGACGGGGGCACGGAGGCCTTCAAGGGGCACGCGAGGGTGATCATCCCGGGGGTGACGCCGTGCTTCCACTGCACGCTCTGGCTCTTCCCCCCCCAGACCAAGCTCCCCCGGTGACCGCCAGCCAGAGTACTCCGCTGGGGGTGAGCTGGACGAAGGGCTTCCATTCAATCCAAGGGGCATGGGAGGGCGCTCCTATTCCGTACCTAATGCCCCCTCCTCCTTCCACTTCCCATCCCCACTCTCACCACCAGAGTACTCGCCTGAAGGGGAGCTAGACCTGTCATCAATCCGCCCCATGGTAGACGGGGGGACGGAGGGCTTTAAGGGGCACGCCAGGGTGATCATCCCGGGGGTGACGCCGTGCTTCCACTGCACGCTCTGGCTCTTCCCCCCCCAGACCAAGTTCCCCCTCTGACCACTCACGCACTTCCACCCTCCCCCAGACCAAGTTCCCTCTCTCACCATCAGATTACTCCTCAGGGAGTGAGCTGGACGAAGGGCTTCCATTCAATCCAAGGGGCATGGGAGGGCGCTCCTATTGCGTACCAATGCCCCCTCCTCCTTCCACTCCCTTTTCTTCTACTCCCCGTCTCCGCCCCCTCACCACCACCAGAGTACTCCCCTGAGGGCGACCTGGACTTGGCCTCCATCCGCCCCATGGTGGACGGGGGCACGGAGGGCTTCAAGGGGCACGCGAGGGTGATTATCCCGGGGGTGACGCCGTGCTTCCACTGCACGCTCTGGCTCTTCCCCCCCCAGACCAAGTTCCCCCTCTGCACGCTCGCTGAGACCCCCCGGTCCCCCGCGCATTGCATTGAATACGCGCACCTCATTCAGTGGGGCGAGGTGAGATGCGCGTTGAATGGGATATGGGGGAGGGGGGTGTTATTGAATGGAATTCAGGGGGTTGGGTGAGACGCGCACCTCATTCAATGGGGCG